ATGCTCACCGTTAGGTTCCTCTTCCTCTTCTTGGTGAGAGGCTTGTCCACTCTGAGGACCCTCTTTGTGGAGATTCTGCTGACACATCATTTCCATCATTTGAGCCATCTGCTCTTTCAGCGTACTAAGCTCACTGGTGAGTTTTTGGTTTTGTTCTTCTAATTGTTCCATCTTTTTAGCTTTCTGAGCACGAGTGAGGACGGATGGAAGACCAGCCACTTTCTAAATGATTTTAAATATTTTTATTATAGCTCTTTATTTCAAATGATTAGTGTGAGATAGATATGTCTTAGATAATAACTTTGGTATCCTCTTAAAAGCCTATGATTAAGGGGTACCATACCCACCTCAGTGTGATAGCTTCCTTTTTAAAGGTTGACATCATACCTTAATGTGCGTATATCTTCTAGGAAGATTATAAACACGCTTGGGTCTCTTTTGCTATTGTCTAAGGATATCTAATACATCCTAGAATGAATGTGTTTATGTATGAGAAATTTTATTATGATGATGTTTATGCATACTTTTCTTAGTGCAATTATTTTCTCTCTTAGTTTTACCACTTATTGGATGATGTGGTATGAATGATACGACTTTGCCAAGAATCTTTTTATTGTAAAAGGTACTTTTATGGCTTTGAATTGTTTTTTATTTTTTTATTTTTTTTTACCCTTTATCTCTTCTGTCAGTCAACGTGGCTACTTAGCTTACAAAGAACCTGAAACCAGGCTAGCTTAAATGAAGACTGTCCGAGATAAGTTTGGTTTATTCTTATCACTTTTATGATTTTTAGGATTTTTACTATTTTTGTTTGTTGTATGATTACCCTATGCTAATGCATCAATACAAATGCAGCAAACGAATGCACACACAATTCATTCATCCACGAGCAGAGCCACGCTTATTTCGAGGTGGGGTTTTCCTGCAGAAACGTGCTTGGTTTAAGTGGTTCTAAACTGTTCTCACCAAGGCCAAAGGTGCCCCCATTATAGGGACCTCTCAATCTCTCAGTCCTCGGGTCATGCACGGAACTCCGTGTCGACATCCTTGGATCAAAAGAAGAGAGTTATCACCTTGAGTTGGTGGTTTCTGACAACGGTTGTAGCCCCGTGTGCCAACAAGCCGGTCGTATCTATCACCCACTCCCTATAAGTATTCACTCTTGCCCCTGGGTATAGAGGGACTGTAGTGTGAAAGGGTTTTTGTGTACAATTTATATTTCAAACAATTTGCAGAAAATAATCATACAACAGTTAATAAAGCCATACAATAAAACATACAAAGAAGGGTAAAGGCGTAATTTCAAATCTTTACTTAGTTTGAATTTATCTGTCACTGAATGGGATCAACTCTCTAGCTTCCCCAGCGGAGTCGCCATTTGTCGCCGCCGTCCGCTCCGACGTCTAGGGACATCTCGAACGTTTATGCGAGCGGTCGCGAAAAGATGGTTTAGACTCGCGTTTTATTTTAAAATATGTTCATTGCTTCTGAGGTGCTCAACAACTGAACTATCCTCTAATAAAAGCAAGGTTTTCGAAAAAGGGTTATTATGGAGTCACCACCAATGTTTTGACCATAAACATTGAAAAGGATAAAAAGGCGTTGATTTTAAGAAAAACCAAACTTGATCATTATAACCAGAGTTAGGTAAGGGAGTTAGTTACGCGTGGGGAAGGTGTTAGCACCCCACGATGCCCCTTTCGGGTTCCCTATGACGGATTAATTCATCAAGTAAAGATTAAGAGAAATTACGCTATTACCCTATTTTATTATACAATATTTTAATAATGGCTATCTATATGATTTTATTTTCTATTGCATACATAAAACAATAAATAAAGCAATAAAAGAGAAGAGAAGAGAAGTGAAAAGAACCCCCGTAGCAAGCTTTTTATTGCAAATCTTTAACTGTGAGGATGCATTTTGGCAATCCCCCGCTCTACAAAGACTCTCCTCCCTGAATACAAGATCGACTCTACCAAAAATTTAAGAAGAATCGAATGCTGGAAGAATATTCCTTAACCGATTGTTACCTTTTTTAGGCAATCGGAGAGTTCATTCGAAAGAGGGAGAGAAGACAAGTGTCTGGAGTGTGAAAAATGCTCAAATGAACTTCCTATTTATAGTTTTCGCAGCCTGGCAGCTCGGGACGACCGTCTGAGGTGCAGAAAACAGGGATGGTCGTCTGGGGAGGCTGGGACGGCCGTCTGGGATCTGGGACAGCCGTCCCAAGTAACAAAACTAGCTGAGACGGTCGTCTGGGCTGACTGGGACGGCCATCTCGACTGTTTTGGCCAGATTTTGTGTTCTGGGACTCCCGGGAAGCTTTCCTTTCTTTATTCGGAAGTCGATTGATGCCGATAGACGTCCGTCGAAGCTTTATCTTCAGATAGGAAGTCTTCTTAGCCTTTATTGAGAGGTCGGGCAAAATTAGGGGTCTACAGTCCTCACTCACACACTTTCTGAGAACTTCCCAGAAGGTCACTCATCCCACAATTTCTCCAAGTCAAGCACGTTTAACTATGAAGTTCTTATGTGATAGGTCACCGAAAAGTAAATGCATTTTGTTAGTATAAGTAGTATCAATCAATTTTCTTAAGCTATCCTTCAACTGTATAGTCTCATACCTATACAGCCTCTAGATCCTTCTGATTCGGGTGTGTTTCAGTTCATTCATATGACCCTTCCGCCGGAAGCCTACCAGGAGTCGCTCCTTGTCCATGCCTCACTGCACCGGCGATCACTCCCCGCTCTCGTCAACGCCCGGGATGTCACATGCCCACCAGCTTCCGCTTGGTTCGTCTCCAAACCACATCGTACTAGGAGAGGCTTTGGCTCTAATACCATTTGTAACGCCCCAGCCGCTTGTACATAATTACCGACTATCCTCACAACCCAACATGAGACTTTCCCATGTGCTTTGTTCTCACTCACACACTTTCTGAGAACTTCCTAGAAGGTCACCCATCCCACAATTTCTCCAAGTCAAGCACGCTTAACTATGAAGTTCTTATGTGATAGACCGCCACCGAAAAGTAAATGCATTTTGTTAGTATAGGTAGTACCAATCAGTTCTCTTAAGTTATCATTCAACTGTATAGTCTCATACCTATACAGCTTCTAGATCCCTCTACTTCGAGTGTGTTTCAGTTCATTCATATGACCCTTCCGCTGGAAGCCTGCCAAGAGCCGCTCCTTGTTCATGCCTCACTGCACCGGCGATCACTCCCCGCCCTCGTTAGTGCCCGAGATGTCACAGTAACAAATATGTCCCACCCGACATGTCAAGTTTTTTCTAGTGTAAATAATTCGTTGTTTGATATAATTAATACAATTTACGCACTGAATTACTTAAACACTAAGTGAATTTTTCTAATTTCACTCAATGTTCAATACACAGTAGATTTCAACGAAAGATTGTTCGCATTCAATATTTATATTTAATATGATCTGAAACATTTAAAATAACTTGCAAAAATAATAAAGAATTGTGAAAGTAAATTACTAAAAATAAATGTGCAGGAAATTAAATAGCATAAATATAAATTTAATCCATTACCAAGGGTAAAACAGAAATTGATAGAGGAAATAAACTAAACTGACGATCCAAATTGTAAAGAACTTCATTAAAAATGTTTGTTTCTAATTCACAGCGTTTTTCAGAATGTAAGTTGTACAATTTGACAATCACCCTTTTTTACTTTTATTTTATCCTATATATATTATTTTTTGTAACCACAAAAACAACCATAAAAATAATAAAATTAAAATTACAAATTAAAATCTCTCAAACGGTTATTCTCTTGTAATCTGTTTCACCTTGTTGATACTTATTTACTTATAACTTGTACATTCTACGAAACTTGTTTTTTAACCGCCTTTAGCAATCTTTTGATGCACTAGTAAAAAATCCTTTAATACAACTTCTTCATATATTCATGCTCATTTTAGTCTTTAAATTTTTAATTCCTACTTTTTTTATATTCTTTTCTTTTAATTTCTCGATTCTCACTTTGTCGATATTTTATTTTTTCTTGAGAAACTTAATTATAATTACTCTTTTGCCTCCTTGATATGTGATTCTCAATTTTTGTCTTCACTCTTTTTTATTATTTGATGCGTAATCTCTTTAATTTTTAAACTTAACACGTACCTATCTGTCTTTTGTAATCAATTTTATAATCTATCTAGCAACATTCTAAGTTCATCTATTATATTATTACATTTCCTATGTGTGAATCGGAAGCTTGTTATAATATTTTGAGCATTATGTAGATAATAAGCTCGTACTATAGTACACTTTAACAATCTATAGATCCATAGGGCCTGTAATTACCAAAAAGCTTGGGATGGTGAAATATAATACTTAGCCGTCTCTGTTAAAAACCTAACCAGCTTAACATTATATGGGTGAAAGGCACAAATGTGGCAGCAAGTCGTTAGAAATGGTTTTAAGAAGTTGCCAAGAACGGAGTGGAAAGTTACTTGACAAAATTAACACTAATTGCAATGTGTCTGTTAGTGTAACGTAGTAAACTTGAAATAATAAAACTTGAACTACTCGACAACAAAGGATGCTATGTGGTACCTTCTGTTGCAAATTACAATTAAATGACAACCATAAACCTATCCAGCCTAGTTCTCTGTAAACCTGTGTTAATGCTTCACATTTTGTTCCTCATTAGGTTCAACCTAGGTTAAGTGATCAATTAGGACACGCAAGTTCTCTCACACAGGAAACTCTTTTTATTATTTTTAATTTTTGGTTTCATCTTTTCACGTATTAATGTTTGATATAAGGAAACTATAATTACCTTCCAAGTTTTCAAATATTATAATAATATTTGAGGTTTGTTCTTGAGGCACAGAAAAAATGCCAGCTAGATTCACTGTAGCGTTTACAGTTCCCAGACCATACTTTTTCTGCATAAATAAATGAATGAATAAAGCCACACAAACAAACCTCGTCACCTCTTACACTGAGTCTTACTTTTGATGCGATGAGTATCGGAGAAGAAGAAGGCAAAGGGAGCTCCAGGAAGCGTGGGCGTGAGCCGGAAAGTGCATTCCGGGGAGTGCGCAAACGCAGCTGGGGACGCTACGTCTCGGAAATACGGTTGCCGGGCCAGAAAACCCGGATATGGCTGGGCTCATTCGGGTCCGCTGAGATGGCAGCGCGGGCTTATGACTCCGCCGCTTTTTTCTTGAAAGGAGCCTCTGCCAGCCTTAATTTCCCCGACCTCGTCCACTCCCTCCCTCGCCCTCTCTCCTCCTCCCGGAGAGACATACAATCCGCCGCCGCTGAAGCCGCTCTCCACCCTCCCTCCGCCAATACCGTACCGGAGATCGATCGGTGGTGGGACCATTTGGGAGACGAATCCAGCATTTCGGCGACGTCGTTTGAGGATGTGAAGGAAGCCCCTCTGATGAGCCCCTTGAGGGTGGACTCCACTTTTGGAGATTTCTCATGGAATCAGCTCTTTGATTTCAACCATGATGACATTCTCAACATCCCCTCTTCTCTCTAACTCTTGTATTTGCACTGCTTCTTGCTTTCTGTGTATAACTGTTGTGTACTTTTCCACACTTTCTACTTCTAAACCACTGTGCCAACGAGTTATCCAAACCACCCAGAGAGAATACTAAAATAGGATTTTAATCCAATTCAATAGTGCAAGTAATTATCAGAGATAATTAATTTATATAACCACATAAACAAATTTAAATTAATTTTATTATGTGCTTCATATTATCTTTTACTTTTTTTCATTTATATTTTTTAATTTATTGTTAAATTAAACTACTACCATTTTATTTTATATCAAACATTTGGACATTAATTAAATAAATAAAATATTTTTATTAAAAATAAAAAATATAGGAAAATATATTTTATCTAAAAAACAAATATTTTAATTTATTAATTAATATCCGAGTAACATAATCGACTAATGTCTGATATATTTATTAAGTAACGTCTTATATTTATTGGAAATTTTAAATAAATTATATAAATTATTTTATACAACTTATTGAGGTAAACTAAAAATGGTTTTAGTCATTTTAATTAAAAAATATTTATTAGTTCTCAAATTTTAAAATAAAATATTTTAATATATATTTATTATAAAAAATTATTAGTAAATATTAAACTTAGATACAAATAATTAAGGAAGTCACAGAAGTCAATTTAATTTTCTCAAATTGACTTAATACGGTTGAATTAAAAATAGATAAACTCAATTAATTTCGCTTATTTATCATAAAAAATGAAATGATATTATATTTAATGTAAAAGATTAAAAAAATAAAAAATAAAATAATTACTTTGTTAAATGAAACATACAAATAAAAGGTTGAAAAAGAAAAAAATACACGTAAGAGTAAGTATAAATTGACTAACTAACTTATTAAAATCACAATAATAAGATCCAAACCCAAACTTAATACTAGAACAAAGAACATAGAAAATTGCTAGATGCAAATAACGACTCAAGCCCATTTATCATGATTATAAAAATCCAAAACATTCAATTTACCTACGTATGTATCAATTGCTTTTTCTTCCAAAAATCAACTTATTATTAATTTATAAATTTAAAAAAATTAAATTGATTTTTTTAAAAATACACGATTGAGTTTTTATAAATAAATTTTAATATACGAAGATAATTATTTTTTTATCATGTTAGTGTCTATGAAAAGAAAATTCCAATCAATTGTATATATAATTGAATGCTTTGAAAACAAACATAGCTCATGTTTATATCTAAAATGATTCCAAAATTTTCGTTTTAGTTATCTTTAAAAAAAAAAGTTTTCAAAATATGTTTTTCTGAAGAATCATTATTAAACTTAATACAAACTTAGCTCAAACCACACTAACTTTTTATTGGGCCTGTGTGACAATTTTTGTAATTTCAAAAAAAATAGAAAAACAAGTTAAAAGCCCTTAAAAATCCATTATATTTTTTATAATTTCCATTATATTGAATAGAAAATATGATTAAGGTGAAGATGATAAACAGTAATATTAGAGTGGGTGTTTTATTTGATGATTAATTAAATTAGATGAAAGATTTTAGATCATAATTCTTATATTTTAAGCAAACTAGTCTTATTATGTTAAAGTAAAATCACTATTAAATATTTGTGATTGAAAAAAATATTCCGTTCGAAAAATGTGTACCAAGTGAAACGAATTACATTTCAAGACGAAATAAAAAAATTAATTTCAAATAGACTAATACAAATAAATAATTTTAAAAAAATCATAGTATTTCTTTTTAATAAAATTTAAATTTTATTTTTACAATCGTCTGTCAATACCTTCTTAAGAAGATTATTTAAAATTTAAGTAAAGAAGATTATTCAAAATTTAAAAATAAATTTGAAGTCTCACTTTAGAATCAGACTTTGATAAAATGAAAAAAAAAAATCATTACCTTACTACTTTAGATTTTAAATTGTTTCACATTCTCATAATTACTCGTGTTTTAAAATATTTGCATGTTGTTAAATACCTAACCATTCTAATCATGCCAAACTTAAATTTAACTTACCACCTAATTTTGATTTAGCTTATTATGATACGAGTTAAGCCGAGGAATAAAACACAAAATTAACTTAGTCACTTTATAAAACATTTGAAATCAGGCCATGGAAAATATATTGGATTCATGCATCAACATATCCATTATTTAATATTAAAAATTACATTGAGTGTGAGTCATTAACATGACACGGATCTTTTGAGAGGATTCACTAAAAGGACAATATCAATGAGATATGAGTTCAATTCATATAAGGATTAACACCACTGTTAACTTAAAATTTTAAGATTTTAAGTTATAGGTTTTTCTTTCTTATATATTGCTTCAACTTTTTTATTCTTACACAATATAAGACTTAACTCATATATAGATTACCCAACACGCATCCCTCAAGTTTAGTTTGTGTATACAACCTAAAAATTTAAGATTTTTATATTTAGTTTTTAATAAAAAAATTTAACTTTTGATTATATCTTTTAGTTTGTATTTAATATCTCTCAATATGTTTTGATAAGATATCATGTTAAAAAAATATTGATTAATATGATACAAAAATTAGAAAAAAAAATCTAAAAACATTTCATGCATCACTTAAAAAAACATAAACAGACGATCAAGACAAAATAAGAATAAATATTTTTTTAACTAAATACGAAATTTGTAAATATTTAAGTAACAACAATGAAGAAAAAATTATTATTAGAGATTAAATGCAAAATTAATAGTAAAAAAACCCATTTAAAAGCTTATGAACATTTTATAAGTTGGAATGAGATAACTAATTTAGTGGCACTTAGTGCTTATTTTAAAGGCTTAATTGTATTTTTTTTATCTCCAATTATTGTTTGTAATGTTTTTTGTTTAATTTAATTTTTCCTGATTTTGTTCATTTTTAAAATATTACAAAATTTGTGTTAATAAATTAATAAAGAAAATTAAAATAATTAACCATAACAACATGGTGGCCTCATTAATTAATTTTAGTTTTGTCTGTGGCAACCTTTCACTGGCTAATTAATACGCAATTATGGGGAATGGGGCTCCATCTTTTGTTTCTTAAAAACATTGGTCAATGGTCACAATATAACGTAGGAATTTAAATATTCAAAAGCAGCAACAATTGTAAGGACCGAAATTTATGTTTTTTGTTTCCATCCAACCCTAAAATATTTTTGAAATCGATGAATTGCACTAAAATGTGTTGTACAAAGTTAGGTTAGGCAACCAACACAACTTTAGTACACACTTAATTGGTGTTACAAAGATTGCCCTCAAAAACAGAGGATTTTTCTGGTTAATACCTCAATTTGTTGCATCATCAAGACCACATGATCAAACTACCAATATTCTGGTAATCAAAACATACCATATAACTATAATGCCATTTATAGATACCTAGGGATAGGATCATCACATTGTCAGACATGCATCTCTTCCAATCACAGTTAACATTCTTTTATTTTAAGATTTTTCAGTCAAAAAGTGACATGATCCTGCAATCATCAAGCTCATCCTTTTTAGGTAAATTCACTCAACGAGTCTAGTTTCATAATTATTTCTTATTTCATCAACTTCATATTTTTCACATTTGATTCTATTCATCTTAGAAGTAGAGATTGATATACTTAGGAAATGATTAATAGTTAATTAAACAGCTAAGCAGTTTAGTGATTATACACTTGTTTAATATTCAAGAATAGCATTCTGTCACTTGTTTATGATTTCAAAACTGTTCTTCGTGTACCTGATAGACAATTAGCATCAAAGTTAGTTCTCTTCACATTTTGCTTCACTCATTCATTGCTTTTACAATGAACATCCCATTCATGCTCACGTGATATGCCTAAGACCCATCCAAATTTCATGGCTATGATAAGTAGAAAGTTGGCTTAATCAAATTGTTCCAATATAATACCAACAGTTACATCAACAAACGTAGATCACAAGACTTTTTCTTATAACGGAAACCCACATTGCTTTAAAATCTTGCATTTACTTGATTCCTGGGACCTAACATGGCAAATGCCACATATCAATTTATGCCCATGATGAATTGTTTTCCTCATAATATAACGTTTCAACGTCATCTAATTAAGCACTCACTTTTCCATGAAAACCGTCCTCAAGGGTGAATTTAAGTGGAAGGTGGTGTCTTGAGAAAGATAGGTGGATTGTGACGCAACTATAGTCTCCTTGTCGAGATAGAAAAGATGAGAGGAAAGGCAGCTTCAGGAAAGACAATTTTGTTTGTATGCATTGCATGCTTTATTGCAGGAACACTCTTTAGTGGCCAGATGTGGCCACGCCCCTCCAACCATGAAAAAACACCACTGCAATCCCAACCTGATTGTGATCACAAACGAGTCAGTATATCATTAATTTCAAGTGTTTCATTATTCCGAAATATATAGAAAGAAATGAAGAAACTAAATTTCTTATTTTTCAAACAGAAACTGATTGAAGGAAGATCTGATGATATAATGGAGGAAGTCGTCAAGACTCATCAAGCTATCAAGTAAGAAACATATATAATCAAAATATCAACAAGAAAATATAATGGAGTGTCACGTGTATACAGTGATGTGACAATGTTTTAGAGTGTATATCAGTATTTTGATTGCATATCAGACATTAGTCCATAAATAAATGAAACTTACGCAATGTGTGAGTGAACTGAATTGTTGGCGGTAGGTCTCTAGATAAGGCAGTTTCGACTTTGGAAATGGAACTGACAGCAGGTAGGAGAAGCCAAGGTGGTGGGCAGCACTTGCAGAAGCATAATGTACAAAAGGCTTTTGTGGTGATTGGCATTAACACAGCGTTTAGCAGCAAAAGGCGAAGAGACTCGATACGCGAAACATGGTTCCCAAAAGGTGCACCATTATACTACTGCATGCACGTATTGATTTAACATTGTAGATGAGAAGGGGAAAGGTAATGGTTTGATGTGTGAAAACAAACAGGGAATCGGATGAAGGAGCTAGAGAAAGAGAAGGGGATTGTTGTAAGGTTCGTGATCGGGCACAGCACCACACCAGGGGGGGTTTTGGATAAATCAATTGATGCAGAAGAGGCAGAACACAAGGACTTTCTCAGGTTAGACCACGTTGAGGGCTATCATGAGCTATCCTCCAAGACTCGCCTCTACTTTTCCACCATTACCTCTATGTGGGATGCTGATTTCTATGTCAAGGTAGACGATGATGTCCATTTAAATCTGGGTATGTCTTCAAAATTCACCTATCACACATTTTTTAATCCCATGAATTCAACAACTTGCATCTATGTTAATCACATTAAGGTATCAGTATCAACCAAGGCTAAAAATTATATAATCTCTTTCTTTTGTAATACAGGTATGCTAGTGAGTACACTTGCCAAGTACCGATCAAGACCCAGGGTTTACATTGGTTGCATGAAATCTGGTCCTGTTCTGTATCAAAAGTAAGATCTGTCTTTTATTTCCTCAAACATTGCAATTTAACTTTTCATAACCTTATTTTAACATGAATGGCAGAGGAGTAAAGTATCACGAGGCTGAGCACTGGAAGTTTGGAGAAGAAGGAAACAAGTATTTTAGGCATGCCACTGGCCAAATTTACGCCATCTCCAAAGATCTAGCTACTTATATATCAATCAATTGGTGATTTCATCATTCTTTTACATTCTTCATCTTCTCTTCTACATATTCTTTGGAGTATGACATTAAAATCTACATTGCAGGCCCATATTGCACAAATACGCCAATGAAGACGTATCTTTAGGTTCATGGTTATTGGGCCTAGAAGTTGAACATGTCGATGACCGCTCCATGTGTTGCGGTACCCCTCCTGGTACGTTTTCCTAGGTAGTTCACATGTTAATAAAGTTGTTGTTTTTTTTATGTTGTAAAGGCATTTTCATTGTTGTGTTGTACACAGATTGTGATTGGAAGGCCAGGACAGGAAATGTGTGCGTGGCCTCTTTTGATTGGTCCTGCAGTGGTATCTGTAAGTCGGTGGAGAGAATGAAAGATATACACAAAGCTTGTGGCGAGGGAGAGGGAGTTGTTTGGAACATTGAACTCTAATTCTCAATTTACTACTTTTACTTCTAAACGCATTTTTTGTTTATTTACTGAAAATTGTTAGTTTTGTTGGGGAGAAAATCTATAGTAACCTTTTTTTAGTTTAGCTTTTTCATCGTTTTCTGTCCATATTTTACATGTAACTTAGAAATAGAGTAATCTATGAAATCAACTTGTTAATCATGGATAAGAAAATAAAGTTGAAACAATAATTAATTGGATTTAAGTGATGCATTCATGAAAACTAGAAGAAGGTGAGGAAATCCTATACAGTATAAAATTATATATAAGATTGGATAAAACAAATAAAGAGTCTTCCTTTTATTTGAATTTTTTTTTTTGTGTGAAAAAAACTAAATCGTAGGGAAATGAACTCGAAATTTGAAAATGAAGTCAAAATTGCATATACAATAAAAGACTGATTCGAAATAGCATTGTTAAATAAAGGATACGGCTGAGATAAAGTGATTACGAAAGAGATTTTTGCAAGACAAGTGTAACAATATGATATTAGATTTCGAGAAAGGAAAAATTACGATAAAATATTAATGAGGGTTATTCAAAAGCTCGAAAAAAAAATAGAATTATATAAAATTAAGAAAAGCTATGAGCAAAACTTTGTGTCTTTTATAAACAGATTTTATAATTACCTTTATAAATTACAATTTTTACTTGTAAATATTTTTTATTGAATTGATTAATTGATACTACAAATATTCATGCCTTATTATTTGTAAGAAATTAATCACAAGACCCTTTAGGATAAAAGAGATAACAAAACTTCAAAGGGAGTTTGTGTGGGGCTGGGGCAAGGAAGGGAAAAAGATAGCGTGGGTAAAATGGCAAAAAATATGTAGAAGAAAGGAAGAGGGTGGGTTGGGGGTGAAGAACATTCAGAAGATGAACAGGTCCCTGCTAGCAAAATGGAAATGGAGGTTAGGTGTTGAGTCAAAAGGATTATGGAAGGAAGTAATAGAAGTCAAATACGGGTCCTGAAGAGCCTTAGACGAACCGAAAAACATTAATAAGGATTCAAAATGGTGGCTAGATATAAAAAGAATATGTAAAGATAATGTTGGTAGAGCTTGGTTTGATAAACATGTAACATGGAAAATAGGAAATGGGGAGAAAATCAGGTTTTGGGACGATGTGTGGATTGGGGAACAGAGTTTAGGCCGCTTGTATCCAAAGTTAAAACAAATAGGACTGAACAAAAACGGGGTGCTATCAGAACATGGTGTGTGGATGGAAAACAGATGGGAATGGAGAGTAAGCTGGAGAAGACAACGTTTCGAATGGGAGAAGGAAATGGAGGAGGAAATGCTAAGTAAGATTCAGGGCGTAACACTTAATAGGGTTACAGATGATACGTGGTTGTGGGGACCGAATAAATATGAAAGGTATATTGTAAAAGAAGCATATGAGATTCTAAACGAAGAAAATTGCAATGAGAAAGAATTGATTTTCAAATGGTACTGGAAAATTAAAGCGATACCAAAGGTCATGGTTTTAGGGTGGAGAATTCTTCAAGATAGGATACCTACTAAGGTAAATTTAGCTAGGAGAAGGGTTGGTATAGGTAACCCAAAATGCGCATTGTGTGGGAGCGAGGACGAAACATCCAATCATCTCTTTTTCACGTGCAAGATGACCAGGGAGATATGGGAAAAGTGCTTTAGATGGGTGGGTATAAGCTTTGTTAGCCATTGTGAGGCGAAAGCAAGCCTGGAAAGCTTTGCATTAGGTGGATTGGGAGCGAAGGGAAACATGTTGTGGAAAAGACTATGGGTAGCAGTGGTATATGAAATTTGGTCTCAAAGGAATAAATGTATTTTTAAAAATGGTAAATTTGATGCGGAAGTAGGATTTAGTAAAGCGAGTGCAAACTTCACTGCTTGGTGCGTTAGAGACTGGGATGGAGCGAGCCTAGCAAGTTCCGATTGGTTTTATGAACCGGTAAGATGTATGAGACTAATTGCCATTTAGTTTCTCTTTTTTCTGTGCTGGCTGGTATATGTCTTTTCAGGCTAAAGTGTGTAATCATGCCACAATGATGATGACTCATATAAGAAGACGGTGAGAGGGAGTATCCGAGTGCTACAAGGTTTTTTTTTCTCTTGTTGTAAACTTTCTTAGTGTCATCATTTTACCCGAAACTAGTTCTCTTAGGCACCACTGGGGTAACTGAACCTATATCTTTGAGCTTTCGTTCTTGTGACCCAGCAGGGTTTGTTTTATTTCGTTCATCTAGCTTCTTTTAGTTGTATTTGGGTTGAAGTACCCCTTTGTACTTCTATTAATTTTATTCTTTGTTGCCGATAAAAAAAAAAAAAAAAAAAATCACAAGACCCTTTAGAGTGGATTGTCATGTTTTTGCGTGTTTGGATTTTGACCCCTTTATTTATAAAACAAAGTTTAAATAGGCTTTTTTATTTTTTAATTTGGAACTTTTTTTTTTTAATGAATCAATTTATTATATTTGTCCATTATCTAACAAATGTAATATCAGCATAACATTAATATATTAATATATATATATATATATATATATATATATATATATATATATAACATAATATATTATTATTGATGATGTGAGTTACACGACAGACATATATAATATAGTATTTTTTTTCTACGTTAATACCATTTCAACAAGAAAAACAATTTAACCAACAACAAACTTATAGTTTATGCATTGTTACAATTTAACCTAGCAAACTTATAATTTATGCATTGTTGCTGGTATTATGAGTAATGGTTTATTTTTAATATTTTTAAGCGAATTTAATAAAATATTTTATTTTTATAGGACGAATATCAAATTAATACGTTTTAAACAATTATATGGTATTATTTAAACTTTTTATTAGTAAATAATATTGTTGCTAAAACTTTTGATAACCAAACTCCTTTTTTTATTAGAAACATTATCTTTAATTGTTAAAATGTATTAAAAATTATAAAATTAGAAGAGGTATATTTGCAAATAAAAGATGAGATTCTATCAAATTTTATAACTTTCAACTAACTTTAAACAATGACATAAATATTTGCTTAAAATAGGAGAAATTTATTATGTGCCATAAATTGGTTATCATCATCTACATGTTGCAAATGCAGTCAAAAGTCAAGTTTTGAGCAAATATAAATCTTAGACATACAATCAATTTGCATTTTTTTTTAATGGAGAAACAATGGATTGAAATATTACAATTAATGATGTCTTGAAACATAACAAACAATCTTAAATCAGTGTTAAAAAATATATATAAATAGTGTCCTTTTTGGTCCATTGATTAAAATGTGGTTAGAGGCATCTAATTATCCCCAACCTAGCTCTTAATCTGTTTGGTTGATTTAGGAAAATCATTGCTTTCCTCCATAGGCCCAGAAGTCCATTTCTCCCCGTAATGAAAGCTGGTTGATCTGATGCACAGCTTGTGGATTTGCCTCCTCAAACCTCACCCCTTTGTTTGAGTCTTCGTTTCCAAGATGAGAGGTAACTAGCCTATCAAGAACACCCCATTCGTTTATTCCTTCGCCTCTTCCGCCACCCATTTCTTGATTTGGTTCACACGATCCAACTTCCATTCCAGACTCCGAAACTTGGTATCTTAGGCCATCGCTCCCGCTCTCACAGTCCCTAGGGTTTGCCATGAGTTGCTTTGCCATGATAGGCGTGTCTGAAGGTAGAGACGATGCATATGAATAATCATAAACCATGGGTTTTTGGGCCTGAAAAAGAGGCTGGGATTGGAAGAGTGAGTATTGGGGATTTTGCAAGTGTGGGTAATGGAGAGCCAGCTCAGGCTTATCAAGCTCAAGCCCTGATGAGTTCCTTGGATTTTGCTGTTGGTGTTGTAAGTAATGATTCTCTCTGTGTACGAAGGAGCGTCCATTAGTGCTTGAGGAATTGTTCATTTGTTGATCTTGGTTATGTGTAGAGCCACCTTCATTTCCAATCTTGTATAAATTCTTCTTCTTGAACACTCTGCACACCACCCACCCATCTTCCTGCGAATACATATTCATGTATAAATCATTACTATAGATTTGTAGTAGACATCACGTGTTTCTAGAAATTATTTAAAAAGACAAAATGGTTTTTAAAAATCATAAATACCTGATAAGAGAGAGAAAAGATAAAAAATGATTATTTGTTTATGTGATTTTGTTGAAGGATAGTTCAATATGAGATCTATATTAATGAATAGAGGGAATAAGATAGTTACATTGGCACTTCCTTGAGGGTCATTGCCATCTTCTAGACGGTACTCATGCATGATCCAATCAGTCTTTTGTCCATGAGGGGCTCTTCCTTTGTAAAACACAAGAGTTTTTCTCATTCCAATCTTCTTGTAGCTGTTCCTAATGCACTTGTCTCTCCCTGTTGCTTTCCAAAACCCTGCATTCGTTGCTCTATTTGTCCTTGAACCTGTAGGGTACTTTCTATCCTTGTGACTGAAGAAATACCATTCGTTTTGTGGAGTCGATCCAATTCTACATCTTTCTGTTTGTCATGAAAAGGTTAACACAATCAAAGTCTAAACGAAGTGAAAATGGAAAAATATGTAACAAACTGATGGATACGAAGTTAAGAAAATGATAGTTATCTCTTATGATAGTTCTGTAATGGTAATCAAGTTTAAATTTATGCAGTATTAGTTTATATAACTCTAAAGTGATTGATCATTATAGGTAAAATAAATTCATAATTAATTAACATTTCCTTTTGTCGCTGGGATGGGGAAATTACATGGTCTAAGCACTTGAGAAAGATTCACAAGTATGATGAATAATGAGTTTGTTAGTCACTGATATAGCTAATTTTCCTAAACAAGACACCATTTACAATTATATAAATTGATAGATATCGTATATTAGGCATGTGCCTAAAGAATAAAGTCTCGAGAGAAAAACAACAGAAGAATTGGATGAGAACTTGAGAAGGACATCAGTGCCTTAGGAAACGAGATCCACTAATTAATGATATATATTCTCTGTAATTGTGCAGAGGACATGCAAAAAAAAAAACTTAAATTAGCAATCTAAAGTGCTCGGTTTACTAAACAGTGTCTTTTTTATTCGAGAGTTTTTAGATTCATTTTAAGGACAATTCATAATTCATCACAGGTAACAACAAATTTCTTAATCGTTTTATAGATACTTGAGTAACATCCTATGAACACCTGAAAAACAAATTAGGCGTACTATATAAAATACTTACAATTAATGGAATGTGCGCGTGTGCCACTATTTTTATTCCCTTAATTATTCACTAATATGTTGTATAAATTAAGGTGTTAAAATGATTGAAGTTGAAGTACAGTTATTTTTTTCTGCAATATTATTTTCGTATAATTCTCCTTTTTCTGTTCTTATATCTCTTTAGCAATTCTATAAAATATTGTAAGCAAATATATATATATATATATATATATATATATATATATATATATATATATATATATTTCTGGTTTGATTAACTAGTCATGCCTTCTAGTACATGAAAGTCTAAGAAATTTATACATATAACAAAATATCTTGCAAATGAAACCTATCTATTCAACTAGAAGAAGTATGAGGATCAAATTTTATTTATTTATGTATTTAATTACCTACAGATATCGATGTAGCTAGGATTAAACAAACATATGAATTTGTCATCTTGCTTGAAAATTGAAATTCATGCTAAAAAGGATGAAACGGATCAGAAAACTGGCATTATATGTAGTAATAGAAATATCATAAAGAGAGCATTCAAAAGCAAGTAAATACTTGGATACAGAATGAAAAAACCAGAATTTTTACTATATATATATATATATATATATATATAGTTTAATTTACCTTGCAAGTCCCAAGGCTCCATCTTGTTCAAGTCGACCTCTCGAATAACATCCATGTCAAACTTCTGAAAGGAGACCTTCTTCTTCAAGTAGTAATGAAGAAGCTCTTCATCCGTCGGATGAAACCTAAATCCCGGCGGCACACCACCATTGGAGGATGCCATTGAATCTGCAAACTCAACTTCTCAATCACTTCACAAGTTGCTGGCTCTATGTATTTCTCTCTCTCTTTCTCTGTTTGAACTCAATTAATTTGAAGAACTAAGCAATCAATTCGTACGTGGTGTTGCAAACATGGCACTTATATACCTTGTTGGTTGTCAACGCCACCATCACACACTGTGACCATATAGAAAGGGTTGACGGCCGGTGACTACGCCGACGGGAATGGTTAAAGCTAGGTATCGTAAAAAGCAAGTTTACGGAATGAATGTGACCAGTATGATTGTTATTTTTTATTATTTTCAATATTTTTTTCATATTTTTCTAGGGTTCCCCCACAACCGCATGGGGAGCGTAAGGTACACATTCCTATCCCCAGTAATTAACCTACGTTCATAAACAAAACATATCTTGTTTGTTTCGATTTAAGAGAAAAATAAAACGTTGTATTGAACCTACCAAGGATGCCATATTAATTGTTCGGGCTTATACGTGCTTATGCATTAAGCCAACATTCTTTGCCCTAACTTGAGGTTTTCTTTGCCACTAATTACTGAAACTTGCATACCATGCACTTGTTAGTGATCCAAACGGAGCTGTCCAACCCTCATGCAAAATCCAGACTTAACTATGCAAAATGGGCATGCTTAATTTGTGGTTAAGCTAGGGAATAAAAATGTTAGTCAAAACCCTAGTTTGTAACTTTGACTTCTTCTTTTTCTGAGGAGGGTTTGTGGTTTTACTTAGCTTAAACTTATTGATGAATCTTATAATAATTTTGTATGAGCTGTTTAATGGTCACTCATTAACATCACTAACTCATAATTGACAACTTATATGAATCACTTAGTAAAACATTCTACATACCGAGATTTACCAGATTTCATAGATTATGCGTGGTGAGTGTTTTAGGACGCATAAATTTTATATAGTTTAGAGTCTCGAAATCTAATTAATAATAATTTATATATATTATTTTTTCTTAGAAATGTATTTTAAGAACAAAATCATAAGATATTATAATTTTAAAATAAATAATATATTAGACGTATTAATTGAACTTAATGATTCCAGACGAGATTTAGATATATTCTTGTTTCTAAATTTAGATCTTGACAGTTTATTTTGGAGAAAGACAAATAACATATAATTAATAAATAATAAATAAATATAAAAAAAAGTGAAAGGCAAAAATATAAATATACAAACAGGTATATTTAATGATGATTAAATTTTAGAAGGTCAAAATTATAAATGTATATATAATTAAATTACAAAATTTTGAATAAGTCATAATCTCTTTTAACTCTAAAAAAAATTGTCACAACTTAAATTAAATATTGGTACTCACTGAAAGATAGAGAATAAAGTCTCAGCTTTAATCTATTTTGTAGTTCTCGACTAAGAATTATATTCCAATATATCGGTGTGTTTTATATTATTTAGAAATAACTACTTAGCCTAGGATAATTTATAAATTTTAAGGATAAAAATATGAAATACAAATTTTCAAAACAAACCATATCTAAAATAAATTCTAATAATTATGAATTCAATACCTTTTATTCCGACACCTAACCTAAGAATAATTGATCAAGCCTTAAGACAAAATCCATATGAAGACATTTGAAGGATATACATACAAAATTAATTTCATTTTTCTGATACGTATAATAGTTGTCAAAATTTTAATTAACGAAATTCAGAGCAATATATAATATGTAAATATTGCTTGAATTCAGACTACTATACTATACCATATCTCGGATACTAGGGCGTACGCATCACGGGCATTGAAAAATGAAGATAATGTTTATGTGAATTGAACAGCAGCTTCTGAATATATGGGTCAGGATTATTATGCAATTGTTAATTATCTATTCCACGCGCTTCACAAAACACTGTGGACTAACCTGCAATGAATATTAGTTTCACTAGTTTTCTGGAAATATTTAAATCGTAAATGATCCCGAGAAATAAAAACTAACATAATTTATGGGTTAGTATTTGATTGTTCTTAAAGCAATGTTAGGAAAAATGACTACTAAAGATTCTTGGGATTTCCGCATTTTATTGGACGGCCAATAAAATTCTTCTTCACAAACATTTTTTTTATGTAAATTATTGACAATCATATAAACTTTTTAACAAAATTTAGGGTTTAGTCTTAAATGTTGATAGAAATAGTTAGAGACGCAGTCGCCATAGCTGGGGCATGCACATGTGGGTATGACCTGAACCGCATTCAGATTGCTTTGCTTGATTCAATCGCACGCTTTCTTTTTTCTACTTTTTGTGATTTATATTATCTTTCCCAATGGCTTTGTGATCTTGCATATCAAATGTTTATAAAAGATCTATTAAACTTTACATGCAGGTTTCTTTTCATTTCACTTTTCAGGTTTACTCAGTGAGATATGATATGAAAATACACTATAAAAAAACACAATTAGCCACCGAATTTAGCGACCGAATTTTTTCGGTCGCAATTAGCGATCGATTTAATTTTGGTCGCAATTAGCGACCGATTTAGAGACCACTTTAATTCGGTCGCAATTAGCGACCGATTCAGCGACCAAAATATGATTTATTTTGCACTTTTTTATTTAGCGACCGAAATAGCGATCAATATTTTGCGACGCAAAATATTGGTCGCTAAATCGGTAACTATTTCATACTAAAATAAAAAAATCATTTAGCGACTGATTTAGCGACCGAATTACAAATTGAAATAGTGACCGAATTAAAATCGGTGGCTAATGAGAAAATAGCGACCGAATTGAAATCGGTCGCTAATGAATATTATTTTTTTATTATATTTAATTTTTTTTTATAAATATACTTTAATTGTTTTAGTATATTTTTTACAATTTATTTTTTAAAAGTAATTTATTTTTTAAAAATATTTTAATTTTTAAAATATACTTTAAAAATAAACTTTGGTCTCAATATTAACAAAACGAATTGTAATAAATCAAATTTATTAAAAATTTAAATTGTAATAAATTAAGACTAGAGTGATGTTAACTATTCAATACATTGTTTAAGAAAAGTTTAATAACAAATATTCTTGAATTTATTTTTCAATTGAAAATTTCAATTGAATTTCAATTGAAATTAAATTATATTTTAAAAAATTTATATTAAAAAATTGAAGAAAATAGAGATTTAATTATACTTTTAATAAATTTAACATAATAATAGTTTTGATTTTGATTTTTAAATATTTATTTTAATTTTTTAAAAGCAGAGAAACTATAATTTTAGTTTCTAAATACTAAATTTAAAGAATTAAATTTATTATTATTTAATCTTTTAATTTTAGTATTAAAAATGTAAATGATATTTTATTAAATTAAAATAATATTACAATATATTTTTCTACTTTGAGAATGAAAAATATAATTAAACTAAAATTGAAAATATTATAATACATTTTTGAACTCTTTTTGATTATTTTTTTTTTCCTAATTTTTTATAAAGTCAATTTTAATATTTAAAAGTATTTAACATTTTGCTTTCTGAAATGTTTTCTCGTATTACCAAATTCCAACTCTTAATAACCTCTACAACCAAATTCCAGCTGAGAGAAACCGAGTGCCCAAATTCCAGGCACCAAACAATACAAAAAGAATGTAAAGAAATGAAAAAGAAGAAACTAGAATGCTCAAACCAGTTTATGCAATTTTGCTGTAAGTGTTTCTTCTTCAAAAGAAATCAAGTTGCCTCAAGAAAGATTTTCAAAGAACTTCTCAAAAACTGATGCGAATCTTTCTTGAAAAGAGTGCTGAAGTTTGCTTGATTGATAGCTCAAGGATGTGTAAAAGATGATATTCAATGTATGTTAAAAAAGTTCAAGCCAAACTGTTTTTATAGAAGATTTTCAAAACTGTTAGTTTAATTAATCTGTTAAAAGATTCTTTTAATCTGTTAAAAGTGCAGTTTTAATCTGTTAAAACTTCTTTTAATCCATCAATACGTTCTTGATTCTTTAACAGATTTGTTTTAACTGATATGACAACGTTTATATCAATTAAAACACTTTACAAAAAATCTTCTAAGTTGATTTCATCGATTGTTTCGCGATTCAATCGATTGAAATACTGCAAAACTTTCTTGTAAAACTTTTCAAGTTATTTTAAGCTGATAAAAATAAGTTTTAATCGATTAAAACGCTTGTGTAGAAATTTTTAAGTTGTTTTAATCGATTGAAACGAGATTTAATCGATTAAAAGAGTTCGATAATCGATTCGATCGGTCATAATTGCATTCTGATCGATCATCCTGAACCCTTAAGTGGTTTTAATCGATTAAAATCAAGTTGTATCGATTAAAATATTGTAAAAACATTTCACTTGACATTTTAAGTAATTTTAATCGGTTCTATTAAAGTTGTATCAGTTAAAAACTTGTTTGAGAAAGCTTTTGTCAAAATACTTTGTTTTTAATTGTTAAAAACATTTTTAGAGGCATTTTGCAAAATCTTTTAAGTGAAGAAACCTCATGCAACAGAAATCTTTTACACTACAAGAAAAACATCAAATAGTGACCGAAAATTCGGTCACTAAATCTGCAAAATCGGTTACTAATTAAAATAGTGACCGAAATAGTGACTAACTGGAATCGGTCACTAAATCAATGAAAAAGTTAATCAATAACAAATTTAATTCTTTTTATTTATTTACATTTTTATTATATCTATTATTTATTTTCCCTATCTCTTAATTATATTATATTTTGCTTATTTAAGTTTTTATTTATATTTATTTCCCCTATCTTTATTATATTTTTTAGAAGTTTAACTTATTATTAGGTGCTTTATTGTCATTGTCAGGATTCGAACCCGGTACCTTAGAGTTGGAGGCTGAAACTCCAACCACTGAAGCTACTAGGATCTTTTAATAATAACTTACAAATAAATTATATTTATATACAAATAAATGTATATCCGTATAAATATATAAATATAAAATCTATAAATAAAAATATATTTATATATTTT